GAAATATATTTGTCTTCCATATGGGTGCCTTCAATGGATGGCTCCTTCGTTGATCATGGGAACTAGGGGCATCGCGGTTGATTGAGGCTTTGGATTAGATATCGCTGCAATTAAAAACAAAATAGCAATTAGTCTTTAAATATCTGATTACATTCATCGCGTGTTTCCTTCCTGTGAAATCACATCCCCTGGAATGCAGAGGAAGGGATTTATCTGGATCCCGGGGTACAATGTTATCTTCGGATTATTGGATGGAGGTGTTCTTGGCACGCTGGAAAGGTTATATATTTTATAAATGACATCCTCTGATAAGATTCGGGACAACCTGAGAGATGCCAGAGAGGAAAGCAGAGTATTCCTGAGATGCTGGTGTGAAGTTCTCTTTTCTATGCCAAGTTGGAAAGTTGATTGGACGAGCCTAAAAAAACTGGGCTAAAGTAATACGATTTTTTTTTCCCCGCATGAATGTTAAAGCTGAACCTCAAGCAAGCAGCTGAATTCACAGATCAAATACATACATGGGAGCTGCCAAAGCATTTTGTAATTCTGTCCATCCAGTTCTGAGATTTACACAGCTCTGTCACACAGCACAGCCCTGATTGGCAGAGCAGGAGATCTGATTTTTCTCTCTGCTGTAGTTCAATAACACGGTCTTGTCTCTTTCCCTGCCTGTGATTGGACGGCGGCAGCAGAAGAAGGATGAGCTCATCTCGTTTTCACTCTGTTCTCTCCTTCTATCAGCATGCACATTGTATTGCAGGGCAACTAATTATCGACTTGTGCTGCTTCTCCCTCCCTTTGGCTAAATTCGCATTTTAGCATTATAGGAATGTTACATAGTTAAGCCAGGAATACACGGCAAGAAAATCGCACAAAAAATTTCCTTTGTCAAATGATCGACCGATTTTCTCTTTGTTGATGAGCCGGATGTTATAACCGATAACAATATTGTGAACGAAAAAAATCCGGTTGAACAACAGTGAAGAATTTTGTTGTTTCGCATGTGCATGACCAATTTTCTATGCGGTGGTATGACGATTGTCCGCAAAAAAATCTATCAAGCGCTATCACGTATGAGTGGAAATAGAAGATGTAAATAAATGTAGCGCTACTCGCAAACTATTCACCAACCGCGCTACACATCTGCCTCCCCCCTCTGCCAATCCCTTCATTGGCTCCACTCAGTGTCCTCCACCCCCTCTCTGCCAATCCCTTCATTGGCTCCACTCAGTGTCCTCCACCCCTCTCTGCCAATCCCTCACTGGCTCCACTCAGTGTCCTCCACCCCTCTCTGCCAATCCCTTCATTGGCTCCCGATTGCCCAACACATCAAATTCAAACTGCTAACTCCGACCTACAAGGCCATTCCACAATGCCGCCCCAAACTACATAACCGACCTGATACCCAAATACTACCCTACCCGTGCCCTCCGCTCCTCACAGGACCTCCTACTCTCTAGCTCCCTGGTCTTTTCCTCCCACGCCCGATTGCAGGACTTCTCTAGGACTTCCCCCATCCTCTGGAACTCCCTACCCCAATCCATCAGACTGTCACCTACCCTTCTCACCTTCAGGCGCACCCTGAAAACCCTCCTCTTCAAGGAAGCCTACCCCAACCTCACCTAACAACCGACCTCACCAACAACTAACCTCCTCCACTCCTCCCGCCCACTCCATCCCCCACAGCCATTTCCTCCTGTACCACCTTCCCCTCCCTCCTAGATTGTAAGCTCGAAAGAGCAGGGCCCTCGAACCCCTCGTGTATTGTATTGTTACTGTCTTGTCTCATGTTCTGTCCCCCACTATAATGTACAGCGCTGAGCATACCCTTTGGCGCTATATAAATACTGTATAATAATAATAATACTCACATAAATAACATACAATTTAAACAAATAATATACACATGTGAATGGAGACACACTGTGTAACATAGAAAACATATGTGAAATGAACTAAAAAACGCTCACTCAGCGCCACCATAAAAATATTTGAAATACTTGTGAAATAATACACAATCATGCAATGTGACCCATAATGTAATACCACAGATATTGTGTTTTACAGCTGGACCAAGAAGTGATGGTGAATAATAGTCAAGAAAAAATAGGTCTCAACCACTGCAAACTCAATAAAAAGCATAAACATGCAAAGACCTAGTGTATATATAGACAATAAATATCTAAAAGTGCCACAAAAAATAATAAAGACTTAATACCATCCCCTCCAGCAGCCTACTATGGATGTTTTCAATTTTTTAGAAACAGAGGATGACCCGGATGTTTGTGCCCAAGGATCCATAGATCCAATTTATTCCAGTTATTTCCAGTTATGTCCCAATGTCCAAGGATCCATAAATCCAATTTATTCCAGTTATTTCCAGTTATTTCCAGTTATGTCCATGGATCCATAAATCCAATTTATTCCAGTTATTTCCAGTTATGTCCAAATGTCCAAAGATCCATAAATCCAATTTATTCCAGTTATTTTCAGCTATTTCCACTTATGTCCAAATGTCCAAGGATCCATAAATCCAATTTATTTCCAGTTATGTCCAAATGTCCAAGGATCCATAAATCCAATTTATTCCAGTTATTTTCAGTTATGTCCAGTTATGTCCAAATGTCCAAGGATCCATAATCCAATTTATTCCAGTTATTTCCAGTTATGTCCAAATGTCCAAGGATCCATAAATCCAATTTATTCCAGTTATTTTTATTCCAGTTATGTCCAAATGTCCAAGGATCCATAAATCCAATTTTTTCCACTTATGTCCAAATGTCCAGGGATCCATAAATCCAATTTATTCCAGTTATTTCCAGTTATGTCCAAATGTCCAAAGATCCATAAATCCAATTTATTCCAGTTATTTCCAGTTATGTCCAAATTCCAGGTTATTTCCACTTATGTCCAAAAGGATCCATAAATCCAAATTCCAGTTATTTAGTTTTCCAGTTATGTCCAAATGTCCAAGGATCCATAAATCCAATTTTTTTTTATTTCCAGTTATGTCCAGTTATGTCCAAGGATTATAAATCCAATGTCCAGTTATGTCCAAGGATCCATAAATCCAATTTAACCATTTCCATACCGGGCACTTTTACCCCCTTCCTGCCCAGGCTATTATGCAGGTTTCAGCGCTCTCACACTTTGAATGACAATTGCGCGGTCATACAACATTGTACCCAAACTAACATTTTATCATTTTCTTCACACAACTAGAGCTTTCTTTTGGTGGTATTTAATCACTACGGGGGTTTTTATTTTTTTGCTAAATTAACAAAGAAAGACCAAAAATTTTGAAAAAAATTCCACGTTTTTCTTTGTTTCTGTTATAAAAGTTTGCAAATAAATAATTGTTCTTCGTAAATTTAGGCCGAGATGTATTCTGCTACATGTCTTTGGTGAAAATAACCCAAATTAGGATGTATTATTTAGTTTGTAGGAAAGTTATAGAGTTCACAAACTATGGTATACAGTTGTGGCCAAAATTATTCAACCCCCAATGCTGTAAAGGGGTTTAGGGACTATAGTGTACATTTGGAATTGTATTCAGAATCAAATCCTACAAGGACGTTGTAACTACCCAAATGCAACTAAAATGACATCAATTGTTTATGTAATACAGTAGTAAATGGTTCTTATGTGGTTTCTTCATTGCCACAATTATTCAACCCCTTAAAGACTACCACTCTGAAGAACAGAGGTTCATACAGGTGCTTTCCATCAGGTATTGAAAACACCTGTGGATGTCACCGAGCAGCAATCAAGCATAATAAGCACCAATTAGGCAGCTTTAAAATGACTGTGATACTCAGCTCCTTCTAGACATTACTGGTGTGGTTACAAACATGGTGAAGGCAAGAGAATGGTCCAGGAAGACTTTGAAGAGGTGATTTCTCTTCACAGGAAGGGCAATGGCTATAAGAAGATTGCAAAGATGTTAAACATACCAAGAGACACCTTAGGAAGCATCATTCGCAAATTCAAGGCAAAGGGCACTGTTGAAACGCTACCTGGTCGTGGCAGAAAGAAGATGCTGACTTCGACTGCTGTGCGCTACCTGAAGCGTAGAGTGGAGAGAAGTCCCCGTGTGACTGCTGAGGAACTGAGAAAAGATTTGTCAGATGTGGGTACAGAAGTTTCAGCCCAGACAATAAGACGCACACTGCGTAATGAAGGCCTCCGTGCCAGAACTCCCAGGCGTACCCCCTTGCTGTCTCCAAAGAATAAGAAGAGTCGACTGCAGTATGCCAAAAGCCATGTGGACAAACCACAAAAGTTGTGGGATAGTGTTCTGTGGACTGATGAAAACAAAATTAGAACTGTTTGGGCCCATGGATCAACGCTATGTTTGGAGGAGGAAGAACAAGGCCTATGATGAAAAGAACACCTTGCCTACTGTGAAGCATGGTGGAGGGTCAATCATGCTTTGGGGCTGTTTTGCTTCTGCAGGTACAGGGAAGCTTCAGCGTGTGCAAGGTACCATGAATTCTCTTCAGTACCAGGAGATATTGGATGGAAACGTGATGCAGTCCGTCACACACACCTGAGGCTTGGGAGACGTTGGACCTTTCAACAGGACAATGATCCCAAGCATACCTCCAAGTCCACTAGAGCATGGTTGCAGAGGAAAGGCTGGAACATTTTGGAGTGGCCATCGCAGTCACCAGACTTAAATCCGATTGAGAACCTCTGGTGGGACTTAAAGAAAGCAGTTGCAGTGCGCAAGCCTAAGAATGTGACTGAACTGGAGGCCTTTGCCCATGAAGAATGGGCGAAGATACCCGTAGATCGCTGCAAGACACTTGTGTCAAGCTATGCTTCACGTTTAAAAGCTGTTATAACTGTAAAAGGATGCTGTACTAAGTACTAAGATTGAATGTCACTTGGGGGTTGAATAAAACTGATAATGCTGTGAGCACAGAAAAGACATTTGTGGTTATTTCATTATAACTGTTATGTTATATTTGTCTGACCTACAAGTGCCTCTTTAATGTAAATGTAAGCAAGATGACTGAATGATCAAAAGCAATGTCAAAACTGGCCAAAACACTCAATTTCAGTGGGGGTTGAATAATTTTGGCCACAACTGTAGATCTGAATATTGATCAATCCTGAAGTACTGACGGCCAATCTAATTTCTTGAGGTCCAAGAATGTCAGAACAGTACAGATATCCCCCAAATGTCAGGACGGTACAGATATCCCCCAAATGTCAGGACGGTACAGATATCCCCCAAATGTCAGAACGGTACAGATATCCCCCAAATGTCAGGACAGTACAGATATCCCCCAAATGTCAGAACAGTACAGATATCCCCCAAATGTCAGGACAGTACAGATATCCCCCAAATGTCAGGACAGTACAGATATCCACCCAAATGTCAGAACAGTACAGATATCCCCCAAATGTCAGAACAGTACAGATATCCCCCAAATGTCAGGACAGTACAGATATCCCCCAAATGTCAGAACAGTACAGATATCCCCCAAATGTCAGGACAGTACAGATATCCCCCAAATGTCAGGACAGGACAGATATCCCCCAAATGTCAGAACAGTACAGATATCCCCCAAATGTCAGAACAGTACAGATATCGCCCAAATGACCCCTTTTTGTAAAGTAGACAGTCCGACGTACTTCATAAGAGGCATGGCGAGTTTTTTGAAGTTGTATTTTTTTTGTCAAAATTTTTGGAAAATTAAAAAATTTAAAAAAAATTATTTTCACTATTTTTTTTTAACATATTGTCACCAGTGCAGTACAACATCATCATATAACTGGCATAGCAGTGATCAGGGACACTGACTGGTGACAGTATGAAAAAAAAAAAAACATATATATTTTTTTATTTTTTTTTATTATTTTTAATTTTTTATTAAATTTTTTTCTTAAGATTTTTTTTTATATTTCACTATGACCAAAGTAATACAATGTTACCATAGTAACATTGTACTACTTTGGGGAAGTGATCAGTATTTTTTTTTTTTTTACACAATTTGCTTATAGCAAAGAATTACTTTGCTATAAGCAAGCATTTACCTGAATGACATCGATTTATTCAGGGTTTTTTTTTTTTTTTTGTGCTTAGCTGTGATTTGGACACAGCTAATCACATGACATGTGCTTGTGATCGCTGTGACCATTCACAGCTAGACACTAGTAGACAATGGATGGCATGAATGAAGCCATCCATTGTATACAACTGTCATGTGACCTGCTGTGATTGGTCACAGCAGGTCACATGGTACCGGCAACAACGGCTCTGCAAGCACGCAAGCTGCGCATGCCCGGGAGTACGCCATATGGCGTCCACCTGTAAATCTAAAGCATTTTTCCGGCCGCCAAACGGCTATTGGCCCGGGTGGCTAATAGTTAATCCAATGTAATTCCAAGGATTTATGCCCAATCGCTCGTTCTGGGCAGAAGGGCGTGGCTACAAGGTCACATGCACACAGCATCACTTCCACTTGTACGGAAGACGTCAACACTACGTATTGCTCAACGAACGATTTTGTTCGATTGGTTAACGAAAGCCACGATTTCGACCAACGAACGAACGCCGATCGGTTGTCGGATGACCAATCAGTCGATTTTCTTACCATGTATTCCTGCTATTAGTCTGGCTGAAAAAAGACAAAAGTCCATCCAGTTAAAACATTAAAAAAAAAAGTTATAATCCTACACCCACAGTTGATCCAGAGGAAGGCAAAAAAACCCAGCAAAGCACGATCCAATCTGCTCCTGCAGGGGAAAAGATTCCTTCCTGAGAGGCAATCGGATATTCCCCCGAGAGGCAATCGGATATTCCCTGGATCAACTTTACCTATAAATGTTATATCCAGTTATATTCTGTGTATCCAAGAAAGAGTCCAGGACTTTCCTACAGCAATCCACTGAGCTGGCCACAACCAACTCTTGGAGTCTATTCCACATTTTCACAGCTCTTACTGTGAAGAAACCTTTCCGTGTTTGGAGATTACATTTCTTTTCCTGCAGACGTAAAGTGCGCCCCCTTGTCCTCAGGGTGAATGTGTGCAAAAACGCTTGATATCCTGCAATGCACAGAAATGCGCTGGCCTTTCGCAGACGCACAGTGGTGCCTCTAATTCTTAAAGGCTCCCCCACGCATCTGCACATGCGCATATTGTCTGGGGTGGTGCAGTACCATGTGTTTCCTCACGTCGTGATTTCTCAAAAGGGTCAGGAACTCCTTTTGAGCATTTCTTGCCCGTAGGCTGGGTTAAGGCACCGACCACACTTGGGCGTTTGCGATCTCTCGGTTCTGCCCGCGATCCCAAAACGCTCTGTAAAAATGACAAATCGCACAACACCTGTTCATGTGCCATTTATTAATTCGGGTGCCGTGATTGCCGCATGATAAATTGCGCTGCCATCACGGAAAACTGCATCGTGCGAAGCTTGCCGCTCAAAAAAAGAGCAGGAGCTTGGAGGACCGGCTTTGCCCGATGTGATTTTGCCGTGATCGCAGCGTGATTTATTGCATCATAACCGCACCGCGGAGCAATTAAAACTCGCATTGTGCGACTTCTCAGGGATTGCGGGCAGAATCGCTGCGAGATCGCAAACGCCCAAGCATGAGTAGAGCCACTTTGTGTAAAATTGGCCACTTTCCTAACGCACACAAAGACGCACGGTCCTGCAGCAGACTCATGGCGGAGGCATTAAGTCTCCTTTCACATGGGGTGGCCTCGGCCAGGATTCCGCTTGCTTGGCAGGGGATTTGCAGGCGGACGGCTGGTCCGTGTTCGCTACACCAGGGGCGGACTGACCATTCGGGCACTGGGGCGCTGCCTTAGGGCCTGGGGTCAGTAGAGGCCACCCTTGCCATGTCAAGCTGCACAGGCAGGTCCATGACACCTATACCAGGGTGGTACCCCCTTATCCACGGCCCTGGATGGAGGAGTCATGCTCAACCTGAGGTCTGCATGGGATCATCGGTGGACGGTCTCTCGGCTTATTCCTTTGTTATCTTTGTTCCTGAAGCCTGCTTGACTTCATTCCTAACCCAGCTATGTCTGACTCTTCACTGGGTTACCCTTGCCTGCTCATGTCTGCTGCTCATCCATGTTACCGACCTCCGCACGGACACTCGACCAAGTATCTGCCTTCTGATTTTGTGCTTTGCTGCCAGCACTCTGCCAACCCTTGCTTGTCTCTGACCTGGACTCTACCCATAATTTGGCACCTGCCTGCCTGACTGTTTCTGAATTCTGCTTGTCTTATGTTGGTACTTTCAAGCTGAAGTTTGTTGGTCCACCTTCATGGTGGTCTGCTGCCCTCGTAGCTCCTGTCTCCACTTTCAAGGTTGCTTGGACACAAATTGTGCAAGAGGCCACCCTTGCCATGTCAAGCTGCACAGGCAGGTCTATGACACCTATACCAGGAGTGTACCCCCTTATCCATGGCCCTGGTGGAGGAGTCATGCTCAACCTGAGGTCTGCATGGGATCATCGTTGGATGGTCTCTCGGCTTATTCCTTTGTTATCTGTGTTCCTGAAGCCTGCTTGACTTCATTCCTAACCCAGCTATGTCTGACTCTTCACTGGGTTACCCTTGCCTGCTCATGTCTGCTGCTCACCCATGTTACCGACCTCCGCATGGACACTCGACCAAGTATCTGCCTTCTGATTTGGTGCTTCGCTGCCAACCCTTGCTTATCTCTGACTTGGACTCTACCCATAATTTGGCACCTACCTGCTTGGCTGTTACTGAACTCTGCTTGTCTTATGTCAGTACTTTCAAGCTGAAGTTTGTTGGTCCACCTTCCTTGCACTGGTTCTTCTGGCCTCGCAGCTCCTTTCTCCAGTGTCAAGGGTGCTTGGACGGAAATTGTGCAAGAGGCCACCCTTGCCATCTCAAGCTCCACAGGCAGGTCCATGACACCTACACCAGGGGTGTATTTACCACAAGGCAAACAAGGCATTTTTTTTGGAGGGGCAGCACTGCCCCCCAGAAGAAGGGACATTGGGACCAGGTGGGTTCCGAGAGAGGCTGTGGGCTGCTTGATGATGTATGCAGAACCCAACTGTCGTTCCTGAGGATGGCCAGAGCTGTGCAGGCTCGCTCCACGGGAAGGGTGGGGTCTGGAGTTGGTCGGTGGCAGGCTCTCCCCACTGGGGAGGGGGGGGGGCTTCCCAACCCTTGCTTGTCTCTGACCTGGACTCTTTCCATAATTTGGCACCTACCTGCCTGGCTGTTTCTAAATTCTGCTCGTTTTATGTTGGCACCTGGCACCTGCACTGGTTCTTCTGGCCTCACAGCTCTCCACTGGGGAGGGGGTTCGTCCAAATTTTGTGTTGCCAAGGGCAAACCCAAATACGCCACTGACCTACACACAACACGTGGCAATGCGTGCATGCTCCGTCGCATCTGCATGATGTGAACGGAGCCATAGGGCAGCCCATTAAATAGAATGCCCAACATGCGACGCACAAAAAAAATATGCCAAGACGCGCGGAACGCACGCACGCTCCAATGGCATGAACAGAGCCTGAACACTTCCGTTCCAAAGACTTCAAGAGGCCGATAACCAGTTCTGCACGACATTGTCTCTTTCACGTTCGGGTTTAGACACGGTTGACGAATCCCTGGCTACCGTTAGCAGCACAGCGGCTGATTTTCACTTTCACTTGCTGCCTTGAATCGCTCTTTAAACAGATGGAAGTTGTTCCTCGAGTTCAGGATCTTTTTTTTTTTTTCTCAAAAATCCATCCTAAGCTGTTTCTGCGGCCCATATGACAAATACAGAAATTCTATTAGCGAGAGTAAAAACAAAATATCAAAGTGGTCTAACCTCCCGTTGAACCTTCACCCCTCCAGCGAGGCGCGCTTTTCTGACATTTTTCGGAGGGGAACGCCAGCCTTTGGAGAAAGTACACAATCAGGATTTTGTCTGCTGTTCTCAATGCGTTTTTTTGTTTGCTAACTTTGAGGCGTTGTCAGATGTTTTTCTTGCGAAAGGATAAAAACTTTGGAAAAGTGACAAAAGTCCGCAGCTAGAGTAACTAGAGTAGGACCTCAAAGTTTGCTTGAATGGAACTTCTGAATAATCTACTGTATAGCTTCCCACATGGAAGAAAAATATATTTGAAATATATTTTAAAAATATTTTTCCTAAATATATTGACATATATTTGAATACTACAATTTTGGCCGTATTCAATATATTTCAAAATATATATATTAAAAAAAATAAAATAATATGTTTTTTCAATAAACATATATATATATATATATATATATATATATATATATATATTTTAGGTACTAATATAGCACCGTCAATTTACGCAGCGCTTTACATATACAGTCAGGTCCATAAATATTGGGACATTGACACAATTCTAACATTTTTGGCTCAATACATCACCACAATGGATTTGAAATGAAACAAACAAGATGTGCTTTAACTGCAGACTGTCAGCTTTAATTTGAGGGTATTTACATCCAAATCAGTGTGAACGGTGTAGGAATTACAACAGTTTGCATATGTGCCTCCCACTT